AAAACACTTTGAATCGACAAGTAGACAATAATCATAATTAGATACATAAAGCACCGGTTATGGTTGATCCATGAAGAGTCATTTTCTGTTGGATTTAAGCAATTCCCATACGTTATCGTAGCAGAACGAAAGGCAACCCAATTCCAGAAGCCCCGACACTATGCGTGCTAGAGACTACAACCGTTGGCTTATCTTTCTAGGCCGGCAACCGAGCAATAATTTGGAGGTTTTGGGTTTGAAATCTACAGTTTCTTTGTGCACGTCAGCAAAAGGTTCATTAATTACCGGTTTATGAAATCAGCATGCAATCGTGTGAGAACATCGGAGATGATGATAACTATCTAGCATTAATGATATATTAAGACTTTTTTATCTACCACTTACCCAACGCCTACAATGGGTAAATTTTTTTTACTCGACGATATAATTTTATTATAGATATTTATAACATACACCTAAGCCTACTTGTGTTTCTGGGCTAAAACCCTTAGTTATATGTGGAAGAAAAGAGTACATGCAACTAGGTACAAACGAGTACAAAGCCAACAAATCAAAATACCAAAATATCTCTCATTTATGATTAGGAGTGTTCATTTTTCGGTTTTAATTGAATTAACCGATCGAACTGAATTAGTTTGATTAATTCGGTCGACCATTGAATTAGTTCGATTGAGGAACAATTAATTTTTTTCTATATTCGGTTAACGGTCAATTCAATTCGAAATCGGTTAATTAACCGAATTAATCAAAATTATTAAATATTAAATGTTATATATATATATATATATTAAATACATATTTTAAGTTCAAACCCATTAAGAATTAAGATCCAATTATTTTTTAATCAAACTAAACTCATTATTCAGTTAATGGTAGTTAAGTTTGGTTGGTGGCTGTTTTAACCGTTTGAACACTCTTACTTATGATTACATACATATGAACTAACCATCATTATGGAATCTTTTACTCCCAACAAACATCATGACACAAAATTTTTAAATTTACCCTAACACTCACTACCCAATTGGATACCCATTACCTATCTCAACTGATACCCACTACCTATTTCGTGTTCGTCTGTATCCATTTATACCCGTCTGGCATTAACCTCACAGATTACATAAACAACAAAACATAAAATAAACACGTCCATTACATAAGCAACAAAACATAAAATAAACACATCCCTGGTTAAATTACAAGTCATGTCTTATAAAATATTAAGATTTACAGAATAGTCTTTGAAAATATCTCTAAATTCATAATAGTCCAAAATTTATATGGTGGATAGTTAGTGGGTAGGTGGATATGGAGTGAACGGATGTGGGCAGGTAAGATCTCAAATCCATCACCTACCTACTAACTACGACAGATATGACTTTTTACATCCACGTCCGTCCAGTACTTATTAAATCTATACCTATCCCCATATCAATTAGAACGAATATGATACGAAATCTACGAAATTATACCTGTCTATCGTTACATGCAAAATGCTGCAAGAGAGTCACGGGCTGCTCTTCAAACTCTCACAAAAAAAAAAACTGATTGGCCGACCCTAATGAATGAAACGCATCAGATTTATGAAGTTATTGGGTTTGATTTTCATCGGTACGACAAACAGGCGGATGAAAAGTGAACATATTAATTGCATGCAACTTGTCGAATGAACAGACACATCTCGCCAGCTCAATTCCTCACTTCTTTTTTGCTTGAGACAGATCGCCATCAAGTTTATTTACGACCAAATCAATTGATTTCTCGAGAGATACAAAACTCCGAAAATTCTATATCTGAAAATACTCGTCTGAGACCACCACTGTGAATATGTTCTTCGGTTGTCTTGATATTCGAAGATAATATTGTTATATGATGTATGTTTTTTTATAAAAAAAATTATTCCAAACTATGAGTAACCTGAGAATTGACAAAGTGGAAAGAAAAAAGATGCCATATTTAAAAGAATTTTATAATTATTTTAACATGTATATATATATATTTATTTATTATTTCCTCGTTGTTTCTAATTTAAGCACGTTGTTCGTGGAGTTGATAAGTCTAACTGACATGATTGAATTAATTTACAACGTGCAATGTCCCATTTTAAACTGTTAACGCTCAAACGCCTTTCCTTCTTTGTTTTTTCCCCTCCATGACTTGTCATTTCTCCTCCTTAGGATGACTCATTAATTGCTGGACAAAAGAAAAAGAAGGATGACTCGTTAATTCGACAAATTATTTTACGAATTATCTTTATTATGTCATATATGATTGTATTCGGTAAAAATTGTATATTTTATTTTTTCTTATGTCATTAATTCATCTCACTTCTATAACTACATGAGAAAGAAATTAATAAAGATTTATCATTAAAAAAAGATAACATAAAAATAAAACTAGATAAATCACTTTTAGTGATTAAAACCATGAATGGCGTGATGAAAAAGACCCATATAATAATTTTTTCCGTTAGCTCATCCACCTTAATTAAATTAATTAACTCGTGTAACTCATAGGTTTTTTATTAAACAAATACAAAAGTGGCATATTTTTTCTCAAAAAATATATATCTTACCGGAATTTTCAAAATGATTTTGATGGAAATTTTAAAATATTTAAAAAGATAATTTGAAGGACAATTTTCATTAATAATATATATTTTTATGTGTGTATATCTTGATTCGAAGAAAGGTGCAAAAATTGACTTGTTAGTTGCTTTTATTGAAAGGGACTTGCTTGTAAGTTGCCTTATGTGGCTAAATGAGTGAAGGAATCCATTTTCAATTGTTTCCATCCACTTGTATTTGGTGTACTATATTGATATCAATAATTCAATTTAAGGTTTAAGTCACGTGCTTGATCAATTTTTAGTTCTTATTAATAATTTTAATAATTAATATTAAAATTAAATTTGAAAGCTTGAAAACAAATGAGTGTATAAAGCTAGCATTAGGGGTGAGTGATGCACTATTTTTTTTATCTCTTCTTTTGGTAAGGTACATTGAATATCACAGAATTGTAGGTTGTATATCGTTTTTATATTGAACTTTAAATTGTTTTAATTTAACCATTAAGTTTTAGTTTCAGGTTCAAGTAAGACATTAAATTATTAACGACACGATGATAAGGTCATTTTTTCACATAAACTTTAATTTACGTATCAATTTTGCCGGGGAGAAACTAGGAATTTATTATAGCGGGATCAAAATATTTTTTATTTTCCATAAATATAATTTTTTAGTTGAGGGGGTCTCGTAAAATTTTCTTTATTTATTTTTTAATATATATATATATATATTAATACTTGAAAAACTAATTGGCGGACCAAGGGGTTCCGCCCCTGAATTTTGCCACTAAACTTTAAAACACTTTATTTTTAAGCATTGAACTTTACTTTGCTTATCAAGTTGAACCCTAAAAAAAATTGTCAACTACTCTAGTCGTTGATAACCATCTTCGGTCACCATTCGCAGCAAAATTGGTATCTAAATGTTTGTCATTCTCTAGTCTTTCTTCTCCTTGAACTGGTTTCCACGAAACTCACTCAAAAGCGATAAAAGTTCATCTAAATGTTTAATGCTCTAATACTTTGAAATCCTTTGACGATCGTTTGATGAGACTAGTTTTGAGGTATGTTGTTCGTCTTTTTAAAATAATATTTATCATCATTTGAATTTTCGAGAAAAAGAATACCCAGACCTCTCAAACTCAAGAAAGCATACAAACCTAAAAAATTACAAATTTTCATGTTTAATTAGGTGAGATTAGAGAGGTCTGGAGAACATCTAAACCAATAAAATGATAAAGGGTAATGAGACGAGTTTACCAATATACAAGGTAGCTACAAAAGACGTCAAAGAATGACAATTTTCAGTGACGACAAAAAATGGATGAAAAACTCTTAGCTTTAATGAAGAAGATGATGGTATAAAGTAAAATTCAATGAATCAATGCTTTAATCGAACTTAAAATTAAAATTTGATACTAGAATTGAATTAATTTAAAGTTTAAGAGTAAAATTTAGACAAACCTTAAAATTTAGTGACATTTGAGGCAGTTTACCTTAATATTTTATGTTATAAGTACACTTATAATGAATACATATAATACAATTGAACCACGTCTAATGGAATCAGATGTTAGTTCTATAAAGCAAAGTTAAAAATTTAAATTATAAATTATGAATAGAGAAAATTGGATTGAGAAGATCGCCCGGTAGTAGATCTACATCTAACTTAAGGTGTGAAGTGCCTAATATATAGTCCGAGTTTACTAGTATTAATTATCTATTTTACTCATTGTGTTTACCCTGAAAATTTAGTTATGCTCACCTATATACAAAAAATATGTGTTGTTAATATGTATGTCCAACCTAAACTTTTTTCCTTATCCACAATTGAAGTTGCCCCATAATACACTTAAGCAATAATTGATATGAATTAATCGATCAATAAATCAAACACAGATACAAATGATTACATTACAAAATAAATGCATATAATACACATTTATAACTATTACAACACAATTAAATAAATAATTGATATACGGATTACACCCTAACCTCACCTCACTAATATCCCAAAGTAGCAAGCTCGATGATTCCCTATCGGTAAATCGTAACCCTAAATTATGCCCATATATGTTTGCGTGAAGACACAAAACATGGGTGGTTTTGGAAGATTTTGAGTTAGTTGTGCATTAAACACTGAATGGCAATCAAATTTTGATTGGTTATCCATCAAATGCTCTAGTCATTTCATGTCGATTTATACACCATTCTCGAGTCGTCAGATCAACAACATTTTCCGACTTTTATATATATATTAATGCAGGGCCATGATGATGAACACAGAATCTCTACGGGTCATGCAGAATTGCAGACAATAATATTAGGATTATGTACGCCAGCATAAACTCCATATATATGTGTGTGACGTAGCTTTTGACGAAACATATAGCTTTGATAAACCTTTTCCTTTTAGATTTTCCAGACTTTTAACAGATAAGAAAACCGGTGAATGAGATAATGGAAGGGGGATTACTGCCTCCAGGGTTTCGGTTTCACCCGACGGATGAAGAGTTGGTCGGATATTACCTGAAAAGAAAAAATAAAGGACTCGAAATCGAGCTTGAAGTCATCCCAGTCATCGATTTCTACAAGTTTGATCCATGGGAATTGCCAGGTATATATATATATATATATACATACTTTTCTTCACATCGTATAGGTTTCGTTTCACTGGTTCCATGGAGAATCTAAAAATGAGTTGCTTTTGCAGAGAAATCGTTCCTTCCGAAACGAGATATGGAGTGGTTCTTTTTTTGTCCCCGGGATCGAAAGTACTCGAATGGCTCGAGAACAAACCGAGCTACCAAAGCTGGTTATTGGAAAGCCACGGGAAAAGACAAGAAACTGGTGTGTCAATCTGCCGTCACCGGCTATCGTAAGACCTTAGTTTTTTACCAGGGACGTGCTCCTGTAGGTGATCGAACGGATTGGGTTATGCACGAGTATCGGCTCTCCGATGAGACTCCTCAGGGATCAACTAATCAGGTGAATTTATACATACAGAACCTTGTCTTTGCATTTTGACTCATAGAAATCAATAATCTGTGATCAGGGTGCTTTCGTCTTGTGCCGCGTTGTGAAAAGGAATGAGCAGAAGGCGAGTGACGTGCATGGGAATCCAGAGGTAATGAGTTCAACAAATGTAGAGCTTACTCCGGTTGGAAGAGTCTTCAACGAGCCCGTGCGGCCATTCGAGCCCATCTCGGTCGATACCAATACCAATTCCGCCGGCGTCTGGGTCTCACCTGATGTAGCTCTCGCTTCATCAAACGTATATATATCTTGTCCTGGAGAAAGAAGCATGGAGCTTGAAGATTTGGGTTTATTTACGATTGTCTAACAATTTTCCCATGGTTGCAGGATTATCCACAAATATGCGAAACAGCAGCTGATCAGTACGAGTTTCCAAGCTTACAGTCGCCGTGGGAGTGGCGGCAATGTCAACCAGACAATTTCTCACCTACCTCGTCGTACTCGAACTTTGAGGAAATCGAACTTTTCGATGATCTCAGTCGCATCGGATGCATGTCAGCTTACGGACATGCAAATGACATTCTATGGCAATGAAATGATATGACCAGACTGACTCATTCAACTATGTGAACCCTCTCAAAGAATGGAAGCTTTGGGCCAATCTTCACTTTGTTGGTAAGCTAGTGGAGATGGGAATTTGGAGGAATGTGATGCTGTTGATTGTGATGTAAAGAGTCCTCACTGATAGTATACGTGTGTGTGATTAATGAATAAATCATACAAATTGAGAATCCCTTCCTTTTATTTAATGATTATTATCGGCATCATCTATTAAATGAATTCAATAGTTAAAGGATGTAATTCTTCGAAGATATTTCATGTTTGAACGGTTACGTATATAAATTATGTGTGTTATTAATGGTTAAAAAGTCACTTTTTATTAGAAATTCATAATTTATTGTTTAGATTCTTAGTTTCTTATGTGTAATTACAATAAGAGGTCGCTGATTTTATCAAAATTCATAACTTCTCGTTTAGATTCTTAGTTCTTATTTGTAACTACAATAAAAGGTCATCATTTTTATTTAGTTTCTATTTGAAATTTGAAATTTAAAAATTCAAAATTTTATTTATTAACTTTTTTAATATGAACTTTACTTTCGAGTCAAATTTAATTCTAAAAGAAATAATTTATTTTTAAAAATAATTTATACGATATCTAGATTATTCAAACTTTGTCTCTGTAGTACACATTTAGTACCTAAATTATCACTTTTATTCAGTTTTAATACTTAAACTTTCAATTTTTTCAAAATCATACCTAATGTTTACTTTTTGTTTCATTTTAGTTCTTCGTCGTAAAAAATTGAGGTACTAAAATGAAACAAAAAGTTAACAGTGGGGTACTAAAAAGAAACAAAAGTTAATGATGGATACTAAAATAAAACAAAAAGTAAATGTTAGGTATGATTTATGAAAAAATTGAAAGTTTAGGTACTAAAATGGAACAAAAGTGATAGTTTAGGTACTAAATATGCAATTTACCCTTAATACTAATGCAATTTTAGTTTGTTTATTGGTCTAATTACTATAAGCAAATACTAAGTAAACATTTGGTTAAAAACGCCATAGAAATAATTGATAAATAATTATTAAATGATAAAATTTAAGATTACCACGCATTTAATGCTTCAATTATCACTTTTAGTTTGTTTTTAGTATCTAAACTTTTAATTTTATTTTAAAATCATACATAACGTTTAGTTTTTGTTTCATTTTTGTAACACCTCAAAATTTAATTAAAAGAAAGTTAATGACCAAATTGTAAATTTTTAAAGGTTTGTAGCTCGATTTTAGAATATGTGGAAAGTTTAGGGACTTAACCTGAATTATCCATTTTTTTGGTCAGTGGAAAAAATAATTAAATAAAAACAAAACCCCATATGCGTAAAAATCCCAAAATTTAAAACCCAATCCCCAATTTGCCCCCCGTCGACCTCGCCGAATCCCCGCCATCCGACCGTCGTTTAGCCCGCCACCGCCATCATCGTGCTTGTCGTCGATCGGCGACCAAAGCCCAACCACCATTCCATTGTGGGACAACGTCGTTCATTGTTAATTTCATCGTGAAGTCTTGTCGCGAAAACCAACCGACCATCGTTATTTTTTGTCGATTCTGATCGTTCCAGCCGCTTTCTTGCCTTACCGCCACCACATTTGAGATCCTCATGCCCTTTCAGTCAGAACCTAGGTGGAATCGTCGCTCCACCATTGCCCATTCGCCGTCTGGCATGGTAAACACACTGATTTCCTTTCTCGTTCAATTTTTGCCATTTTGACTCGTATTTCATACTGTTTTAGACTGATTTTTGTGTTTGGTTGCCTTGGGAGTAATCAACCGATCACCCCGAGCCTGTCGCCTGCCGCCACACACTGTCACGTGCCTGCGTGTGGGGCTCTTCCCTAGCCAAGGAAACCTTCTGAAATCGGTTCAGGTGGATCAAACTGGCCTGACCCGGTCTAAATCGGGTCTGCTCGATCCGAACTGGTCTGACTGTTGATCGGCCTAACAGTTGACCAATCTGACTGTAGACCGTTGACTTTGACCCAAAAAGAAATTTTTGAAAGTTATATTTTATGTTTTTCGACGTCCAGAGTCCGAGTCCGAATCCGAAGTCTGTTTCCTCAAATTCAAACCTAGTAAGCTTTTTTCAGTATTTAACCTTCCGATTCGGTCCATTTTATGCAATTAAGCCTCATTTATGATGTAATTTATGTTTATATTTATTTGAGATATTATTAGACGTTGGATTCAAGTTCGAGAGTGATCAAATGGAGTTTAAATGCTCGAACTATGGAGCACGAAAATAGAGGTAATACATTACTACCTTATGTATGCTTTATGGAACACGCTAGCATTGGTTAATGCATAGATGAATAAGTTTGGTTACATGTGCGTAATTAATATATTTCTAAACTCGTTCCAAATGCGATGAAAAATTATTAAACAGAATAAGAACCATATTACACGTATAGGACACTAGAAGACTGATAAGAAATAATTTCAGGTTATGTGATTAACCAATAAAGCAATCAACCTCAGAATCTTTAAATTCTAATTATTTTCGTTAAAAGGTTTAATATCGAATCATTGGTTAAGAAATTACAAAATTACCCCTATAAGGTAAAAATGGATCGGACTGACTCTGATAGTGAAAGTACCCTGAGAATTCGTTTTTAATCCGAAAAACTACTAATTCACCTATTAAATTCCTGATATGTTCGGAAAGACGTTGATAATCAGATCTTAGCATCCGAGAATATACAAGACCTAGAATTATTGACTTATCGGTAAACAACTAAAGACTAAAACATCGGGAGCATTATTTATGTTTGCATTGTTCAGGATTGAATTGTTCAGGAAATTGAATTAAATGGAAAGACTGGATTGAAGGAAATGACCAAAATGCCCCCGAAGTGTAAAATGACCAAGATGCCCCTGAAGTGTAAAATGACCCAAAGTACCTCCAAGCCCTAGAATGATTAAATACCCTCGAGCTCCGAAATGAATAGATCAACCTTGAATACCAAAATAACCTAGAATTTCTATTTCGTGAGCGAACACCCGGAGACTAAATTACCGAAGGTACTTTACATGCCTGAATTTATCGAAATGACTTTATTATACGACCAAGTTTAACTGAATGGAAGTGTTGTATGTATCAGAATTGTGGAAACGACTGAATTACTCTGGAAACTCCGAAGTGACCCAGATAAACTTAACTACTAAATGACCTAAGTACCCTCAATGACCTAGAATTAAGCGAATGACTTGAATAAGTCTGGAAACGCTGATTAACTTATATGTTGTAATGTTCATAAGGGTTTTGAACCACAAATCAAGCATATCTACATTTCTTGATACCGTTGCAATATAGAAATGAAATAAATACCATTGAAATACCTGTTCGTCTCCATAAGATCCATTCAATGATGATTCTGAAGATTATCAGTTTGACTAGTGTTGTCAGTATTAAAGTGTGAATATCCTTGAAGTGCATCGATATGACTGATTGACAGGTATCATAGTGATGTAATTTGTTCAGTTCGAGTTGACTAGATATCCTGATAAATCGACATGAATCTTAAATACCATGAATCATCGTCTCACTCTTATTAGATTAAATTACTAAGAATTCTCTAAGAATTCAATGTCCAAAATGCCCTTGATTTCCTGAATAATGAAATCACTCATGTCATACCTGAAATCTCAAGTAACATCGATGCAATAGATTTGAATACCTTCATGATCACTTAAAGCCTCAGAAAAATATATTTGAATAATATATGATCTTGATAAATCAATTCCCGAATGACTGATGAACCTGTTAGCTATTAAACCCCTTTTCATGGGGATATTGATTCTGAAATCTTATTAAATTATAAAAGTTTCATCCTACCTGATAAATACCAAGTACCTCCTAAGAATAACTGGATCCTCTAGCGTGTTCCCTATGTGAAATGTAATTGTTTTACATGTTTTAAAATATGATTTTTCAAAATTACAGATTTACTGATGTTTTGATTCACTGTTAATGAGCTATGGCTACATGATATGTGTTCTCTGATTACCTGTTTTTTACTGGAAAATATAATCGTTCTTGATTTGTGGATCATGTGATCTACAGTTACTACTTGAACTATTTTATTGAGACATTATCTGGGTAGGTTGAATATGGAGGTTCAGCTCTGATCAAGATGGTAATTCCTTACCGACCTAATGTGACTTTAGGTAGGCTTTAAGGCACCAATATACTCCCTTGGGTAAATCATGGGACTAAGTATAGTGTATAGGTAGAAGGAAATAATGTAATATAAATAACTTCATTGTCACTCTTACGATATTATACTGGATCATGATTTTAATATTTTTAATATTCAAGTTAACTTTTCGGTTTCTACAGGCGAGCGTAAATGATGAACATGTCATCTGTGGTGATATTAGATCTTTTACGTTGGGGAGATCCTGGCCGTTAATTTCCCGGATGTTTGCGTGTCCCGCTTCCCCTCGTTTGCTTACACTAATTATAAACAGAATGACTTTAATTAGTAGTCAGGCAGCAGAGATAAAAACACACCGCTGGATCAAGATGGTAATTCCTTACCGACCTAAGTGACTTTAGGTAGGCTTTAAGGCACCAATATACTCCCTTGGGTAAATCATGGGACTAAGTAGTGTATAGGTAGAAGGAAATAATGTAATATAAATAACTTCATTGTCACTCTTACGATATTATACTGGATCATGATTTTAATATTAAAGTTAACTTTTCGGTTTCTACAGGCGAGCGTAAAATGAATGAACATGTCATCTGTGGTGACGTGGACCAATGACATTGCGAGTACGGATAGTTGAGCAATGATATTAGATCTTTTACGTTGGGGAGATCCTGGCCGTTAATTTTCCCGGATGTTTGCGTGTCCCGCTTCCCACTCGTTTGCTTACACTAATTATAAACAGAATGACTTTAATTAGTAGTCAGGCAGCAGAGATAAAAACACACCGCTGCTGCGTCGTTTTGACCAACCCATTACTTTGAATTATATTTTTAGTTTGTAATCATCTTAATTTAATAAATAAATAAACAAATGTAGATTTTACTTTGAATTATATAAGCATATGGTTTAGTGTGTATGGAATATTAATAGATAAAAAGATAAACTACACGTTTAGTACTTAAACTATCAGTTTTAATCTATTTTAGTATCTAAACTTTTAATTTTTTTTCAAAATCATATTTAAAGTTTAATTTTTGTTTCATTTTAGTACCTGTAAACTTTAGTTTTTATTTTGATACCCTCGTTCAAAATTCAACGTTAAATTTAAAAAAAACTAAGTTTATGTACTAAAACAAACCAAAACTGGTAGTTTAAGTATTAAATGAGTAAATTCTTAACGACGGGAACTAAATGAAATAAAAAATAAATATTAAGTATGATTTTAAAAAAATTAAAAGTTTAAGTACTAATATATTTACTCTTAATAAAGTTATATCGAGTATTCATTTAGTTGGAGTAATTGTTAATGTTATTGAGAAAATTTTTAATTTTATAGTAGATCAAATTTTAAATAATAATATATTATTTTTTCGAGATGTTTAGTTTTATTTATCTTAAAATTTTATCTTTTGATTCTTATATGAGTTGTGAAATCTAATGGTACTTGTTATGACCTTATGGTACTTATTATGACTGGTTTGGGCGTCTAGATGTTATAAGGACCCAATTAAAAGGCCTGAAGAATGGGCAGAGTAAAGAATCTTGAGGGACCAATTGGAGAATTGACAAATTTAGTGTGGGCTTGATCACCTTCAGCGCCACTTTGCTCTCTAATTTCATCAATCGGTCCTGTAAGGTTCTTCACTTTGCCAATCAAGTCCTCAACTCTTCATGCTATTCAGTTGGGTCTTTATGGTGCCTTGAACGTATTAGACAATTTACAGACAAAACAATATCTAATTTCTAATTGACTGCACAATCAAACAATCCTTCAACAAAAATATTTCATCTGCAGAGACAATTATATGCTGATTTGATATAATATAACTTCGTTAGTGCTTTGTCACCACTCTTTTCATCATTATCCGCCGTCATATGTCTTTTCGTTTTACCAGTTTGTAACGTTTGTAACTCTATAAATATGCACAAAATTTCCTATTAATACACTTGTGCGATGCCTACGCGAAAGAAACTGTGCAAGAGCTACTTGGACCATACAAGGTTGATTGCTACCTAATAATTGCTCTTTTGGTAACCTCAAATTGTTCTTTGAGGTGACAGAAAGTTGGTGCACTAGAGTTTTGTGGCATTTCGCTAATGGATGTTGATAATTCCACAAAGCTTTTGAGTAGTTGCCATTCAAACAGGGGCTCTACCCACCTTCTCAACCAGTATAAATCTGCATAGTTCCTCCATTTTTGGCAGTAACACCACCACCATGGGTCCTGCTGCTAAACTCATACCTCTCATCCTCTTGTTAATCTATATTGATCCGTTCACATGTCAGCAAAAGATTTCAATTCATACAAATTGGTTTGCGACAGTTCTGAAGGTGGTTTAATCGGAGTTTTTGTTTGCATTTTGCAGGTGAAGTCGAGGGCTTGGATTCTTCTGGTGCACCACCCACTGTAGACCCTGCAATTAATGAGGTAACTTCAACGGCAAGGGATCTGAAAATTTTCAATCTGTCATGAAACATCTCTCCATGAAAGTTTGATTTGAAAGGAAAATTGGGCTTCCGTTTAAAATTTTATGATTCAAAGGTGCCTGAAGTATGTTTGTTTTGAAGGATATGATAGAAGTCGAGACGATGAAGCCGAAACTAGAGGTTGTCACGATAAAGGATTATACTCCGACCATGCCAAACCCTGTACACGATCCACCACCAAGAGGAAAACCGTGATATCGGCTGGCGGTGGCGGCAACTGAACTTGAATCTAGAAGCATTAGATATGCCTACTTGTTTTCTGGACTGCGTCTGTTAGTGAAAATTACGAGCAATTAGCTGCTTTAAATGCAAGAAACAGTAGTTCCTTGAATAAAAGAGGATCAGAAAACTGTTAAGAACCAGATGTCTGACTAGTAGTTTCTACTTTTAAGCAAAGAGAATGATTTCTTCCTTTGATTCAGAGGGAAGAAATGCCCTTTTTGCTAAGTTGTGACTGCAAGTAATAGCAATAGTTAGCTTGCTTTCTTTCATACCAAAATTCAGTATGCCTCAAGGATCCGCCAGCAACAAGATTTAGGGGATGGCAAATTTCAACCTTATTTTTTTAATTTTTTAATTTAAATTCAAGGTAAAATTAATCAATCCCTCACAAGCTTCTGCATATTTCCAACTTAAACTATCTTTTGATGAATTAATCCACCCAAATTCAGACAGTAGCCAGGTACAAAATCAAGTGAGATGAAAAACAAAGGGCACAAATTTGCTACAATGGAAACGGCAAAATGGACTTAAATTAATCCCCCTGTTAACATTTTTATCTGATTTGCACAATTCCAGCGATGACCAGCTTTTTGATCTTGTTCATCACCCTTGGATTCTTCATGTGTTCTTGTGCTTCGTTCTGGTTTTCCTGGAGATCAATCAAAACCTGTCCAAATCCCCATTTTCAGTAAACCAGACATCAAGGAATCCAGACATGTTCACATTATAAGTAATCCCAGAACTTACCCGTCTCATGACAGGATCCGAGAGAATGTTTTGAATCTCAGGATCTTGCATTGCCTTGGCCCGGCAACAATATCACATCAATTTAAGTTTACATACTAAACAGCATGTGTGAATCCAAATAAGAAACAATGACATAAAGGGAATTACTCGATACTCAATTGTCTTTCCTTCAGCTCTTCAGGGGTGAAATCGCCTCGACTCGCTTTGTTAATCTGTTCCACACATCTGCAAAATAATTGAGAGAACCAAGTAATTATATAAGGTACTGATATAGGAACACAAAACTAAAAGATCAAAAAGGGAGAGCTGCTTACCTTCGGAAACCATCGAGCAGTTCCTGGTTATTGGGATCATGTTTCAACCCTTCCTGGTATGTTTCTAAAGCTTTGTCATACTCCTTGAAGAACTGAATAGCACCTTTTCTTGTGTAACCCTTAGAAAAGGTTGGATCAAGCTCAATGCACTTCTCAGCATCTTTCAGTCCCTCAGGCATTGCACCCAATTTTGTGTAGCATGCAGCTCTGTTGCTGTACGTCTGACATGCAAAATGAATTTTAACAATCAACTCAATGCACGATGCTGTTTTGTTGCACCTTCGCCTATGGTCACCAACAAACTCACAAAGGAAATAGACTTCTTACCCTTGGATCTTTGGGGTTTCTTCTCAAAGACTGTATAATGCTTCACAGCTTCCGGATATTTCTGCTGCTTGAAAAATTCATTCCCTACAAATATATTTGTGCCGTCAGTAAATTAACTGTATATGACAGTCGGTAAACAAATTTAAAGTATTATGGTCCATCCAATTAATTTTAGTCTTTCCTTATCACGTCATTCGATGCAATTCATCCAAAGCAATGAATATGTCAATTGACTATATCATACAAGATCAGTGGGACATATACGATGTACACGGGCGTATTAGTCACCTGAATCTCATGCGGTATACAGTTGGCAATAGCAATCTCAGTAAGGCATCCACGTGAACTATAAAATTAAAATTACATAATTTTGTTAGTTAAAACCTTCAAATAAATTAAATTATTCTAAAATTATAAGATAAAAATCGAAAGAAAATATTTTATTACCTGATATTCTAACTTTTCGATCATGAGTCTAAAGTCTTATTGATGTGTTGGTAACAGGCGTAAGAGGTTTCATCAGTCCACCTATCATTAATACAATATAATTATATTATTTATTAGTAATATTATAAAAAATAGATAAAAATTATTTTTTACCTATTAAGTGACGGAAATTCATATAGGACGTGTGTTTTAAGAATCGGGCATAAAAATAGAATTCAGATCTAAACCCATGATTGTAACAACAATAAACACTCTACAATGACATTTGTCGTCGGATCTACGGCTCTACAAAGCTTCCGGAACGAAAATGCTAAAACTGTCGACCCCCAACTTATATTTCTTGAATAACTCAAATTTTGCAAGTAAAATTTTTAACCGCGGAGTAATAAAATGAAACAAAAACTAAACTTTAGATATAATTTAAAAAAAATAAAAAAAAAATTAAGTTTTAAAACGGACCAAAATTAATAATTTATGTACTAAACGTATAATTTACCCTTAAATTTATAATTTTAATAATAAAAAATGTTATTCTTCTTTGATCCGAATTCAAGCAGTTGCATTTACAATATGTAATTGTTATTAATAGGTTAAAAAAATTCTAAACATATCTACAACAAATAAATTCATATAATAGAACCAGATTTTCCCTACGCAAATTCGGATTTATATTGAATTTTCTACTTCAGAGTTCTGTTACATATATATATATATATATCCAAAACTGATACGTGAAACTTAGAACTTAAAGGAGAAAAGATGAGTAAAGTCGTAATTCATATTATGAGCAAAAAATAGTGTTTGGATGCCAGGAAAATAGATAACAAATCAAGCAGCAGCAACTTGTTGTTTCGAAGCAAGCTCATTCTGGATATGTTGAGGGACAACATCAAACTTGGCCAAATGCATTGTGTAGGATGCACGGCCTTTTGTCATACCTCGGAGAGTGCTGACGTATTGGAACATCTCGGCTAGCGGAACAAGAGCATCCACCACCTGCATTTAATCCGACACGAATCGACCAACACGATAAGATTACAAGAAAATGTATCTCTTCATCTCTAATAGAAAAGCGATGCCAGTGGAAACATACCATTTGGTAAAAACATAAAGATAACACAGCAGTACATGATCATAGTCTGGTAAAACTTATAAATTAGTGTAATGGATGCTTTCTAGGAATGGTCAGATGAGAAGAAACAACTCCGACTCCTGTTTTCCTTTTCCATTTGTGGAAATATTTGGGATATTTACGAGTGCTGTGGAAGTATGCTATCGAGTTTTTCGCGGCATATGTTATGAATTACTAATTTACAAAGCAAAACAAGGGTGAAGTAATCTGATATACCTTGAGTCCACCAGGCTTATCACCAAAGCTGTTAATCTGGCCTCTCCTGGAGTTGAGATCACCAATCACATCACCCAAGTGTTCTTCGGGTGTGACAACCTCGACTTCCATTATAGGTTCGAGCATTCTAGGGCCAGCCTTTCTAATCCCCTCTCGGAAGGCTCCCCTGGCTGCCAGTTGAAATGCCAAGACACTTGAATCAACATCGTGGTAAGAACCATCTACTAGCACCGCACGTACATCGACAACAGGAAAGCCTGCAAGGACACCGTTACACATACACTCCTCCAGCCCTTTCATTACTCCGGGAATATATTCTTTTGGCACCGCTCCACCTTTGATTTCACTCTTGAACTCATATCCACTACCTGGCTCCATTGGCTCGAAGCGAACAGTAATATCAGCAAACTGCCCTTGTCCACCTGACTGTTTCTTGTGCACATACTTAACTTCCGAAACTTTAGAAATGCTTTCACGGTAATTAACTTGGGGTGCACCGACATTAGCTTCTACCTACATAGACCAAGCAATCAAAACAATGAGAACCAGATGTATTTAATGTTTATGCATCGGTAAATCTATTAAATGCACACACGCCCAATTGATCGGAATGATCAAGGGTACTAATATGCCTGACAATTAGATGTTGCTACAAACCTTGAACTCTCTCTTCAGACGATCAACAATAATCTCGAGATGCAATTCTCCCATTCCTTCAATTACAGTCTGGTTGATCTCTTCATCCCGTGAGAAATGGAAAGAAGGGTCTTCTTGAGCAAGCTTGATCAAACCATTAGCCATTTTATCAACATCAGCTTTAGTCTTGGGTTCAATAGTCACTTCAGGGTTCTCAGGATCGGTGCCCTTCATTGGCGGCAACTCAATAGGCGATGGCAAGTAATCCATAACAGCATCAAGTAAGGGCTGAACTCCCTTATTTTTAAAAGCTGAACCGCATAATACAGGCACAAAACTGATCCCAATCGTGCCTTTCCTAATTAATTTCTTAATGGTTTCCTCATCAGGCTCAACTCCTTCAAGATAGTTCTCCATAGCTTGATCATCTAATTCAACGATTGTTTCTATCATTCGTGACCGGTACTCTTCAGCCAACTCTTGAAGATCAGCCGGAATATCAGCATACTCAAACTTTGCACCCAATTCTTCTCCGGACCAAAGTATAGCATTCATCTTTACAAGGTCAATGACACCTTTAAAATTATCCTCTGCACCAATTGGGTAGTTGAATCACGAGCGGTTTAGCACCCAAATTAGTAACTATCATGTCCCTTGTCCGGAAAAAGTTTGCTCCTAGACGATCCATCTTATTGACAAAGCATATTCTGGGTACCCCATACTTATCAGCTTGCCTCCATACGGTCTCAGATTGTGGTTCAACACCAGCAACACTGTCGAACAAGCATATAGCCCCATCCAAAACCCTGAGGGCTCGCTCCACTTCAAGCGTGAAATCAACATGGCCAGGGGTATCGATGATATTAATCCGGTGGTCTTTCCAAAACGTTGTGGTCGCAGCCGATGTTATGGTAATACCTCTTTCCTGCTCTTGCTCCATCCAGTCCATTGTAGCAGTACCCTCATGTACCTCACCAATTTTATAGTTTCTTCCCGTGTAGTATAGGATTCGTTCAGTTGTCGTCGTCTTCCCCGCATCTATGTGAGCCATAATTCCGATGTTGCGATAATCTTTCAAAGGTACCGCACGCTTCGACTCTGTAAAGCAATAAAAAATATATCCATGTTAAAAACTCACAAAAGCAGCAAGAAATTTGTCTCAATACATGAGTTCAATACATTGATAACAAGAGTATTTAAAAATGCATATCGAATGAAACATCATCAGTCATCGGATTGGCAATTTCCCAAGCATTTGGGAAAATAAATAAATAATTTCCTCAGCTTACACAAGCAAGTACACCAAATTTCAAGTTGCCAAGCGATGAAAACAACAAACTTAAAGCTGAAATGAACAAAAACCCAGAGTTCAAAAGTTAAAAACATAACAATCCAAATTCAAAAAACACACCAAATCCCTTCAGAAAATAGAAGGATTTCAACCAAATAACTTAAACAGTAACTCAAAGCAATAAAAGGCGGGAATGGAAAACGATTACCATCAGTGGCCATAGCAAAGACAGATAAGCTTCTTTGCTTCCCCTTTTGGTGATGTGAAATGGGAAGTCTAGAGCCAATTCGAACACTTCCCAAGAACTGAGAGAGTGAAGAGGAAACTGAAGATGAAGAAGCAGCTCGAGGACGAAAACCCAGAAAACGGGTTGAAGAATATAAAGGGGTTGGCCTCCTTTGAGACACATTTAGATTACAAAATGTTGAACCCGAACCCGAAACTCTAATCGCAGTCTCTGCCGCCATTTTCTCGATCCTCACGAATTCTCACTTCTCCGTTCTCTCTGTTTTGCTCCTCCTGGTGTGTGAGGCTAGGGATAACGATAAACTTAATGACGTTTTATAGTAAATTTCGTATGGTTGATGTGTTTTATAGGATTGCCACCACGTATGCTTATAATAACGAAAAATGCCATTCCCCATGGTTGATGATGATGCTATATGCCAACGGCTGATGATGTGCCACGTATGTTCGAAATTATATATCCGCAAAAACAGGATGGTGGGGCAGAGTTTATCTGGCGTTCAATCAAGTCGAATCGAATTAAAATATTTCAAGTTATTTGAGTTGACGACTCTTCTAACTCCGAGTTAACTTGAAGTTTTTTTAAGTCGAATCGAATTTATAAAGTTTGAGTTGAGTCGAGTCGAATTTTTGAGTTTCTATTTAAATTTAATTGTAAATATTTACAATATTACGTTATTATTTAATTAGAATTTAAATGATATTTTATAACCATATAAAATACATATATATTTTTCATATTTTTTCATATGTAATTTATATATACCATACAAGTCAGAAGACTCGACTAAAACTAGAAAATAAATGTACTAATTACTAAAAATTTTGAGTTATTCGAGTTGTATTTTATAACTCGATTTGAACTTCAAATTTTTTCGATTTGAGTCGGGTTTATGAAATTATAACTCGAAATCAATTCAAATTAAGTGTTTTCAAATCAAGTCGAATAAAAAATCGATTTTTCAAGTAGAATAAAGTTGAGTTTTACTCGCTCGTATTCCTTATTAGACTCATCTGAACCTGTCATTAATCGTATATAGATAAAATCTTATAAATATATAAATAATATTTTTATCTTTATCTAATGTATCGATAAAGTAATTTTGATTAAATATTTTAAATCATTTTAAGAAAACGATATTTTTAATTTGATTTTTATTTTTATAAGGTTAAAATCTGAACATCTAATTTTGTTTGAAAATTTTAAATAACTAAATTATTATATAAATTACTTTAATTACATAATTCATATTTTTTTATAGAAAGTAGCTAGTTTTATTAAGAATAGAAAATGTCTATAATTACAATGAAGATTTAAGAAGATAACCATAAACGTAAATTAAAAATTGAGATGAATTCTAAAAGAGTTCATAATTAATAGTTAAAATGGAAAGTTGAAAAATGTTATGTGATGTTTGGGTGAATTTAGATAAAAAAGGATTTGAATAGTCAAATCGAAATATTAAATTAAAGTGAATATTTATGTTGTGACATAGAATTAGT